CCAAGTGCTGGGATTAAAGGCGTGCGCCACCACCGCCCGGCCAAAGTCAATCTTGAAAACACATCAACTTCCTACATATAAAATAATTATTGCTTCTTCTTCTTCGGGAAAACACCAAATGGCGGATGACGCCGGTGCAGCGGGAGGACCCGGAGGACCCGGGGGCCCAGGATTAGGAGGCCGCGGTGGCTTCCGTGGAGGATTCGGCAGCGGTCTTAGGGGCCGCGGTCGTGGTCGAGGCCGTGGCCGTGGTCGAGGCCGCGGGGCTCGTGGAGGAAAAGCTGAAGACAAGGAGTGGATCCCCGTCACCAAACTGGGCCGCCTGGTTAAGGACATGAAGATCAAGTCCTTGGAGGAGATCTACTTGTTCTCCCTGCCCATTAAGGAGTCTGAGATCATTGACTTTTTCCTGGGTGCATCCCTAAAGGATGAGGTTCTGAAGATTATGCCAGTGCAGAAGCAGACTCGGGCTGGCCAGCGGACCAGGTTCAAGGCTTTTGTCGCTATTGGGGACTACAATGGTCACGTTGGTCTTGGTGTCAAGTGCTCCAAGGAAGTTGCCACTGCCATCCGAGGGGCCATCATCTTGGCCAAGCTCTCCATTGTCCCTGTGCGGAGAGGCTACTGGGGGAACAAGATTGGCAAGCCCCACACTGTTCCGTGCAAGGTGACAGGCCGCTGTGGCTCTGTGCTGGTGCGTCTCATCCCTGCCCCCAGAGGCACTGGCATTGTCTCTGCTCCTGTGCCCAAGAAGCTCCTGATGATGGCCGGCATAGACGACTGCTATGCTTCAGCCAGGGGCTGCACTGCCACCCTGGGCAACTTTGCCAAGGCCACCTTCGATGCCATCTCCAAGACCTACAGCTACCTGACCCCCGACCTCTGGAAAGAGACTGTGTTCACCAAGTCTCCTTATCAGGAATTCACTGACCATCTTGTGAAGACCCACACCAGAGTCTCTGTTCAGAGGACTCAGGCTCCAGCTGTGGCTACCACATAAGGGTTTTTATAAAAGAAAAATAAATGAATTAAGTCTGTTAAAAAAAAAAAGATTAGAAACTTAGATTTTCCTTTATTTTTTTATTTTTTATTTTTCGAGACAGGGTTTTTCTGTGTAGTCCTGGCTGTCCTGGAACTCACTCTGTAGACCAGGCTGGCCTCAGAATCCACCTGTCTCTGCCTCCCAAGTGCTGGGATTAAAGGCGTGTGCCACCACCACCCGGCTAGATTTTCTTTTAAATTTTAAATTAAAACATTAATTCTATAGAGAAAGTATTTACAGACTAATGTTAATACTTCTTTTTTTAAGACAGGCTCTTGAAACTAGAGCTTGCCATCAGAGCTAGGCTAGCTGGCCAGCAAGCTCCAGGGACCTGTCTGGTTTTGTAACCCTCAGCCCAGAGTTGGAGTAACAGACATACTGCCTGACTCTGTGTGTGTGTGTGTGTGTGTGTGTGTGTGTGTGTGTGTGTGTGCGCGCGCTTTTGTATGTTCCTGCTGGTACTCTTGGAGGCCAGAACTCCACATGCTTGTTCAGTAAGCACTTAACTCTCTGAGTCATGTCCGAGGCCCCAGGCTTCGTCTCTTAATGACCCTGCTGCCTGACACATCGTCAGCTCAAGACTGAATTCCTAAAACATGAGCTAACAGAGGACACATACAATCCTACCCAGACAATAGCACAACTACTGATGACATGTGGGAACCAACTCTTCGGTATTGCTGATTATAAAATGAGGCAGGCCATGTCTTAGTTTCGTCTCCCTGCTGCTATGATCAAATACTCTGACAACTGCAACTTAGAGGAGAAAGGGTTTATTGAGCTCACAGTTCCAGGTGATAGGTCCATTGCTGTGGGGAAGTCAGGCCTGCTGGAATTCACGTAGCAGCTTGTCACATTATGTGCATAGTTAAGAAGCAGATAGCATCACAAGCGTGCTCATACTCTTTACTGGAAGACAGCCCAGGATCTTCAGCCTGGGAATGGTGTCACCAAACTTATATCAATTACCATTGTCAAGACAGATACGCTCATGGGGCAAGTGTTCTAGACAATTCCTCACTGAGATTCTCTTCCTAGGTGATTTTTGGCTGCATCAAGTTGACGATTAAAACCAACCACCTTGTGCTGTTGCTGTGGGAAACCACTTGGTAGCTGTGAAGAAAGTTAAACTTAGAACTGTCATATGTTGCAGTCATTCGCTTCTAGGCATTTATCCCCAAATAACTGAAAGCAGATACAAAACAGACACTTTGTGCTAATGTTCATTGAGGCTTCATTCCCAGTAGCCAAAGATGGGGAAAACACAAGTCCTCGCCTATGAACAGGTGAGTGTAAAAATTAAAATGTTACATATATGTTACAGTATGTTAACATAATTGTAACAGATGTAACATAAATGTTACATATACTAAATGGAATAGTTTAACAATAAAAAGAATGGAATTCTGACTCCTGAGACTACATGACTTGTGCTAGTTTTCAGTCACTGGAACAAAGAACTTTAGAAAATACATTTATAAGATGGACAGATTTATGTATATAAATTCTCTAGCTCAGGCTTGGCCTCGAAATCGCTGCACAGTAGAGAGTGACCTTGAACTTCTCTCAGAAAAATATTTTTAGATATATTTATTTCATTTTATGTGTAGGAGGGTTTTGCCTGCCTGTACTTATGTGCACCGTGTGCATATCTGGTACCTGCAGATGTCAGAAGAGGGTCAGATCCTCTGGAACTGAAATTGTAATCTACCAGGTTGGTCCTCGGTAACTCGTCTTCCAGTAGGCCTTACCTCCTTGAGTTTGCGCCTCCTCCTAACAGCACCATCCCCTGGCTACTAAGACTGAAGTCATCATGATGATGTAGCATGGACACCCTGTGCTAAGTGAAACAGTCCCACACCAGAGGACAAACATCGTAGGGCTCAGTGAATCTGAAATATTTATAGCTGGTAAATTTGCAGAGAAAAAGTACGTGGGGCAACCAGGCTGTGGAGAAGGGACTTGTTAATGGGAATAGAACTTTAGAATGATGAGTTTCTGGAAACAGCTATGATGTTTGCAGAAGACTCTGAATACCATTAATGCTGCACCATTTAAAAATTTAAAAGAGCTAGATGGTAGATGTTATGTTCTATATATTTTACCAAAAACTTAGAAAAATATAATGAGGGGCTGGAGAGATGGCCCACTGGTTAGGAACACTGGCTGCTCTTGCAGAGGATCCAGGATCAGCTCCCAGACTCCTCAAGTTGTCTCACAATTGTTCACAACTCCAGTTTCAAGGGATCCAAAACCCTCGGGGCTTTATAGGGCACTGCATACACGTGGTGTACAGACATTCATGTAGACAATACATCCATATGCATAAAATGAAAATCTTAAAAATATATATACTGGGGACTGGGATCTATCTAGCTCCATAGTGAAGTACTTGCCCAGCTTGTGAGACCCCCTAGGTTCCATCTTTAGCACCAAAACAAGAATTGCCCCCTCTGCAAAGGAAAGGTACCCACTGCATTCAAACACAGCTGCATAATGAGACAGGTGAAGAAGATGTCATGTGACATCCATGCAGCTCCCAGAGTTTCTCTACCCACAATTCCCTTCCACAGCCTATCTCCTCAAGGCTGAATTCTCAACAAAGAACCCGTGGCTTGAAAGTCCTCAAACAGTTTGTCAGTTATATAAGCTAAAGAACCAGAAGTGGCTTCTGTCTGTTAGGTCCTCTAGGGTTTGTATTTCTTCATAATGAGCTGAGATGGGTTGGTCAAATGCCTACCAATATCAGATTCCAACTTGTATATACCCAATTATTTTAAATATCCTCTAGATGACAAGATTTTAAGTCCCTTAGAACTTGCCTGTTTTGCATACTGGGAAACCTATGTCTAGCATTTGCTAAAGCTAAAATTAACCCCCAAACTGTGATGACCCCCAAGTCACTGCTGCTCCTGGGATTCTGTGACCTAGAATGTCTCCTCCATGCTGCTGGGTTATATCACCCAGCCCTGCCAACACTCCCACAATCTTAAAGGGTCTCTCTTCTTTGTGTGTGTTCCTCAACCTCTGACCACCTCTAGTCCAAAGGACATCCCTGGACTCATTTCTTCAAGTCTTTGAGTTCTACTGCCACCTTGTGGTCATATTTCCTTCGTACTCCTGGCTTCCCCTCTTGAACCCCAGCCACAACTGTGATTGGTCTGAGTAGAAAGGCTTCATGGGAAGCAGCCTGCAAATAGAGTCATGGAATTAAGCAGCCTGGGCTCTATCTAGTCTTGTCATACTGCAGGTGGCTGGCTGTGAGCCTGGACCCGGACTCAAACTCCCTGAAGCCTCATCTATAAAAAAGGGTGAACAGAAATACTGTCGTGAGGTGCCGCTGTGAGGGTTAAATGGGTTGTCTACCCAGGAAGGGTCTGGCCCAAAATAAGTGCTCAAGCAGAGCTGTGGTATTCTGCATGAATGAAAAGACCAGATTCTTCAAAGCTCACCAGGGCAAAGTTTCATTAATATATCCTCCAAATACATTTCAGTTCACTAAAAGCCATTTCACAAGCACACGCATGGGTGGACACAGTGTGTTAACAATTTTGCAATCTGTTCAATGTAATGACATATTGGAAGACAGTTTTATCTGAAACCCACAGGTCAAGATCATAACATTTTGGGCCTCAGAAGTTCCCCAAACAAAACAGGCTATTGGCATTGTTCCTAGAACTTAGCACCCCCAAAACTCTCCAAGGTCCTAGCCAGCCTCAGAGTTATCTGATCCCCTAGAGGTAGAGCCAACCAATCAAGAGGAAGGTCATCTATCCCTCCCTGGAATTTCCTTAGATCTGCATAAATGTGGCCTGCAAGCTCCTCAAAGGACTGTATTTTGATCTGGAGTACCCCAGTATACTGGTAACTTCTGCAGAATAAACGCTTCTTGCCTTTGCATATTATTTGAGGGTGAGGTGTCATCCTTTAGTAATTCACGGACCTTAGTGGCAGGACATCGAAAGATCAAGCTGGAAGTAAGCCAGAAGTATCTTTCCTGCTAGGTAGCTTTCACAGCGCTGGAAGGGGCTGGAAGGGCCTCTAGAGAAGAAACATCACCAGAGGAATTACCTAGCAGTATATCCTCCATGTTACAACACTAACTGCACACAAGATGTGCCAACTGGCACATTAGTGGCATGGCTGTTAATGGGGTAATCAAATGCTTTCTGTTTGGGTTTGAGGCCCTCCCATTGGGAGGGAATACATGTCTGGTATTGGTCAAAAGCCCATAGCTGGGGACGCCATAGGCTACAGTGGGAAACCTACCAATATTGTTTGGCTAAGTGGACACTGCTTGTAAAATGTATAAATGCTTTCTAAGTATTTATGTTTATGCTCATAGAATAGCACTACTTCAATCTTAGTTACCGGAGCTTAGTTTTGCAATGGGTACTGGTTGGTGCCAAAACGTGTAACTAGTCAAATTGCAATGAATAGGTAACTGTTGGGTGTTTACCCCTAAACAGGACATCAGCGTCCACCTTCTCCTCAACACTTGGGGAAGTCATGGAAGAGTAGGTGGGGAAGAATATAAGAGCTAGCCTGGCAGTGGTTATGTACACCTTTAGCTCTAGCACTCAAGAGGCGGAGGCAGGAGGATCTCTGTGAGTTCAAGGGCAGTCTGGTCTACAGAATGAGTTCCAGGACAGTCAGGCCTATACAGAGAAATCTTGCAAGATGTAAGGACTGAAGGGTGAGGAGTTCTGTGAAACGATATCTTCTGGATGTACCATGGCCATGGCACATGTAGACTCACAGCAACTGTGGTTCCTTGCCCAAGACCTGCACAAAACTGAGCCCATCAACACGCCAGCACTTATGGAAGAAGGGCTTTTGAAACCCACCCCCCCTTAGTGAAGAGCTAGCCAGTTAATGCTGCTGGGGGAGGGGCAGTCATTTTTCTTCAGTGGTGTAGCCTTTGGTAATTTGCCCATGGTCGAAACCCAAATAAAAGAAATGATAAACTATAAAAAGTAAAATGATAACAACAATTTAGGGCTCAGTT